CCATTTTTTTAAATGGAAAAAGGACCTAACATTTCTCAAAAGAAGACTTACAAATCGAAAACAGATAGATGAAAATAATGCTCAACATCACTGATTATCAGGAAAATGCAAATTAAAAAAACAAAGAGAGAGTACCTTACATCTGTAAGAATGTGTGTTATCAAAAAGACAAAAGATAACAAGCGCTGACAAGGACGTGGAGAAAAAGAACTCTTGTACAATGTTGATGGGACTGTAAATTAGTACAGCTACAAGGAAAACCATACGAAGGTTCTATAAAAACTAAAAATAGAATTACCATATAATCCAGCATCCCACTAGTAGATATATATCCAAAGGAAATGAAATCAGCATATTGAAGGGATATCTGCACTCTCATGTTCACTGCAGCATTATTCACAATAGCCAAGATGTAGAATCAACCTAAGTGTCCAACAATGTGTCAATAGATAAAGAAAATGTGATATCTGTCAATCTAAAGTTATGCCTTTCTCAGTTACAGACCTGTAGATATAAAGATAGAAATAACCAATTGGCTATTATTCAGACTTAAAAAAGAAAATCCTATCATTTGTGACAATATGGATGAACTTAGAAGACATTATGCTAAGCAAAATAAACCAGGCACAGAAAGACAAGACATGTTATCACTTATACAGGAGTCTAAAATAATCGAAAACAATCACATTTATATGAGCAGAATAGAATGGTGGTTACCAGAAGCCAAAGGACTAGGGGAATAGGGAGATGTTGATCAAAGGGTACAAAGTTTAAGTGCAACAGGAGAAATATCTTTTTGAGATTTATTGCACAGCATGATAGCTAGAGCTAATAATAATGTATATTTCAAAATTGTAAAAAATTAATTTCAAATGTTCTCACCATAAAAAGATAAGTATTTGAAGTGATGGATATGCTAACTAGATTAATCATTTTAAATTGGATATATATATCACGACATCACTTTGTACCCCATAAATATATATAATTGTAATTTGTCAACAGCCAACAATGTGTTAAAGCTGCTAAGGTGACCCTGATTAACTGTCACAGTTAGGAGCTAGGGGTCTGGTGTGAGACCAAGCTTCCCCCCCTGTATTTAGGGCTATAACACCCCTCACTAGGTACTCTTCAATGGTCTTTTATATGGTTTCACTGCCTCTTCATCCAATCTGCTACATTGATCTCCACGCAATTGTCAAATTCATTTTCTAAAAATCAAGCTATCCTTAAATTCTTCCTTTGCTTAAATTAGCTCTCCCTTACTGAGCAAATAAAATTGCTTAAATTAGCTCTTCCTTACTGAGCAAATAAAATGCAAACTCATTAGGATGACACCCATGACTCTGGCCATTGTTCACTTTTCTGGTCTTCTCTCACAGCAACAGTTATACCTTTCTGAATAGAGAGTCCACTTCCATGTAAGGTAGTGGGCATGTTGCAGAGAGTATCAATGCACCTGCTGAGTGACAGTTAAAGTTAATTCTGACTCTATCTATGATCCCATTTGGGATAGTGAATAGCAACTGTTGGATATCAGGGGATCCGTTCTTCCAAATAGCTTCAAAACTGTTTTAAAAACTGCACCCAAATCTACTTGATTCCTAAGTTCAAATAATGAGAGTTCAGGTAGAAAGGCACACCTCTATCTGAAAAGCAATGAAGTATTAGTACTGAAATTAACACTGAATTTATGAGAACTACTATAAGCCTTCAGAAAAGGATGATCTCTAAAGAAACTTGAATGTTCGGTGTATCATTACATAAGTTGAAAAAGTTAGGTTTAGGCATGAAATACTCTGTCTTCCCCAGAAACAAAAGACTAATGGGGTGGGAGGTGTTTCATGTACATTCTTTTTGGCATGAGATTTGGTTTAAGTGTCATGAGTAGAGCTACGATAGAAGCAGAGGATGGAAGGCAGGCTGTCTGACAGTCTTTACCCCAATAATTACCGAAGTTCTGATTTATCACTAGCTTAATAATTCTTTTCTAAGAGTGTCCCAGAGAGAGAGCACAGGGAAAGTAGAATGCCACATACATAGAATATTAATGAGCTTTTCCATCAACTACTTGTAAAAGAGTGTTCTTAAGTAGCGTGTACTGGCTCAAACAGTACACCTTTAAGATTCTAAGTACCAATAAAATGAAGAAGCTGGAAGGAAAAGCAAACATGGATCTTTAGTGCTTTTTGAAGTACTAAAGGTCCAGAATGGCAGCAATCTTACTCATACTCCATCTTCTTGCAAAAAAACATCATGACTAAGTTTGAAAAGTCATCATTTCTAATCAAATACAAGGAAAGTTGTATTTTTAAACATTTACAACTTTTTCATTTCTCCATAATCCAATATGCTACCATAGCATTATTTCAAAATCTCACATTTCACATCTAAGAATCCTAATAAATCCTCTTATTGCTAAGTATTAATTATACCATTTTTTATTCTGTAGCTGTGGAATTTTTCCATAGGAAATAAGTATGGATAACCACCACTTCTCTAGCAATCAGAACCAATGAATATCAGTAAGTTTCCTTAGGCTTCTCAGGATTAGGGCTAAAGCCAAGAATACACTTCAAATTCTTGGCCCTTGGTCATAAGTTCAGACATTTCCAGGGTGAGCAAAGTAAAACTGGACTAAGATGGCCATAAATGATTCCTAATGGCTCTCAGAGATCAATACTACACTAAGTAGAAGGAAAAAATTTTCCTGTTACACCTCACAGGGTTTTCATAAAGCTGTATATCTCAAAACAAAACATTTTAACCCTTTTAGACCATGGCTGGGAAAAAAAAAGAAAAAAATTTAAGTAATATGCTATATGAAGAGCATTTTCAGATGAAATCTATTATCTGTAACAACCAGCACCACGATTTATGTCGGGATACTTCTGAAATAGCAGAGCACTTTCATGTATGGTATCTGGTAGCTGGTAGATGCTATTCTCACTTATGTTTTGCTAACAAAGAAACAAAGACTCACAGCTGATAAATAACGTGTGTAAGGTCACCTAGCTGGGCTACATAAGTGTCAGACCTTAAATCTAGGTCTTCTCACTCCACATCCCTATACCCTCTCTCCCCTTCCAAATCTTCAAATAAGCATAACTTCAAATACAGGTATTCTTTGCCTTCTTCTTGCCTCTCTTCCCTCAACTTCCCTGCACCATTTGCAATGCTGTTTCCACATCTCTCTCCACTCCACCCGATCTAATTTACTTAGCAATTTCAATTTAGGTATTCCTAATAAAAACTAAGGAGTTGATCGATGGATAAAAGTGGAAGTGGAATTCTAAAGAAGTTCACAGTAAAGCATTTTTAACTTCTAGGACTACATAGATATTTATCATTGTCTACATCTGTTCGGCTCTTCAGTTAGGTTATTGATTCTCTTGGATTCTAGGAGTCTCCCGGATTCTTGTATTTGGGATAGTGACATCAAGAATTGGACAGCAAGAGATCTGCTCTTCCAAATAACTCTATTTCAAAAACTGCACCCAAATCTACTTGGTTCCTAAGTTCAAATAGTGAGAGTTCAGGTAGCAAGGCACACCCTCTCTTTGAAAAGCAATGAAAATATTAGCATTTAAATTAATACTGATTTTATGAGAACTACTGTAAATCTTCAGAGAAGGATGACCCCTAAAGAAACTTGAATGTTCCCTGTATCATTATGTAAACTGAAAAAAGAAAAAAAAAGAAGAGAAAAAGATAGACATAGTCACTATGTTTTCCCTACCACAGTGAAACTTCTCTATGAGATACTTACAAAGAGCCTTGGCATTCCTCAAAGGAAAAACTGTTGGGAACCTTTTTAGTGAAATAAATTTGGTCTTTAGCAGTTTTGGTCTTTGCAACTGAGAAAGCTGCAAACCATGAAACAGTGGATCTTTGCTGAAATCACTGTAAATTTGAATATAATTTCAACTGTTGTAGGTGCCAAGAGGTGATGCATTTCCTTCCTGAATTTGGTAGACTTGCAATTTCTGGTTCATAGGTAAGAACCAACATAACGTAGTGACGGTGGTGAGTATGTATAGCTCAGTATCTCAAAAATAACTCAAATGCTAAATGCCAGAATACTAAAACTAATAATCAGAACACATAGGTTCTAGTCTTTTATGCCATCAATTAACCATGACTTTGGGGTCACATTTCTTCAACTGTAAAATGACGCATTAGCTTCGATGATATCTAAGATCCACCTCAGCTCTAAGACACTCTGATTCTTTGTCTGTTTTTGAAATTTTACATTTGTTCTGCTTTTAAAACTTTAAAAAATGGTTATAAAAGCAACACACATTTGTTGTTATTTAAAAATAGTAGACAAATATAGGTAAGTGAAAATTACCAATGATCCTACTACCCAGAGATAACTGCTAAACCCCATGAAAGAAACTTATGGGGTATTTTATAACCTCCTTTCATTTAACATATTTTAAACTTCTTGCTATGGCATTAAATGTTCTTCTAAAACATTGACTTTAAAAATAAATGGGCAAAGGCACAAGGCAAGCATATCAGAATCACTCAGGGGTGTCCTAGCCAGTCGTTCCCTGGTTTTTCTGTTCCCTGTTCTCTCTGACAGGTTCCGGGGGGCTGCGACTCTTTCATTCAAGAATCACCATGGACAGAGCCATTGTTGGCAGTAACTGTAATTTCCCTCAGGAGCACCAGGGAAGAATCAAGCTGAAGAGCACTGTCCCTCCAAAATCACTTTTAATGGCTACTAAATTGGAATGGGCCATCATTTATTGATCACTTCCCTTCACTGGATATTTAAGCTATTTTCATCACTATAAACATTGTAATGAACATCTGTGTAGCTGCATCTTTGTACATATCTGTAATGAAACCCGCATACTTCCTCTTGGTTAACTAGTAATAAGGGACTGTTAAATTGCAAAGTCTCTCATTCTGTTTCAGTGAAATCCTATTAAATACTATAATCTGGCACAAAAAGGAAGGATGAACCTCAATTAGGAAATGTGGTTACTCACCAGCATCTTTGATCCAATTATCATAAAGACGCACAGTCCTCGATGTAAGATCGCTGAAGGCCATTTTCCACAGGATTTACCGGCTCTTTTAATGGGTTCTTCAGCAAAATAAAGCAGAAATGAGTTTACGATCTATAAATGCAAATAAAGTCACGCTTATAGTAATACAATATTTAAAATGCTAAAAATTTAATATGAATAGCTGGCAAAACAACAAACTTCTACTGAGGGCAAATGCATTAGTAAATTACTTTAAACCCTGATGTAGTTGCAAACATTTCAGATTTTCCATTCTTCTAGAAACATCACTAACTTCACTGAAAAAGACGAACATTCTATGTATAAGATTCAAAAACAGTAAATGACTCTAAGAACTTTCATAGGAGCAGCTCTCTTTCGTGGTGACAACATCGTTCAGGAATGGACTGCACTTGAAGTGGCAAAGCTGAAGCAGAAACCCAGGAGAAGAAAGTCAAGAGATACAGCAACTTTCAGAGAAGGTAAACTGAACCTAGACTTAGAGCTCATCTTCAAGCCTCAAAAAGTCATCTATATGCAAATTTTTATAATTTAAGTAGAATAGAGACAGAAAGAGGGAAAAAAAGGTCTATAAGAGCCAAGGAAATGCTGCTTAGTTTATCTAGACAGATAGGCAAGAATAAGTGGAGAAAACAAATCTCCTGAAAAAGAAGACCAGTGAGGAGAAACCAGTCTTATTATATATTAAAAGATGTTATAAATCTGCAATAATTAAGACAGTGTGGCACTGGGACATAGAAAGATAAATGAATGTAATAGAACAGAATGTTCAGAAACACACTAAATACACTTGAAAATTCAGAACTATATTTCAGTAAGTAAATAAATATTTGAGTAACTAAAATCTACCTAAGATGTGTATTTTACCATATTTTAATACCTCTAAAATCAGGGCTTACCTTACCAATGAATGGTATATCATAACATTACTGATATTTTTGATTCATAAGCCATGTGGTGGGAAGATGAAAAAGTTCTAGAGATGATGTTGGTGATGGTTGCACAACAATGTAAATGTACTTAATGCCATGGAATGTCACACTTAAAAATGATTAAAGTGGTAACCATTTAAATTAAAATATACATAGCAGTAAAAATAACAGGTATATTTTACCACAATTAAAAAAAAAATCAGCCAGTCGCAGTGGCTCATGCCTGTAATCCCAGCACTTTGGGAGACCAAAGAAGGCAGATCACCTGAAGTCGGCAGCTGGAGGCCAGCCTGGCCAACATGGGGAAACCCTGTCTCTACTAAAAATACAAAAACTAGCCAGGTGTGGTGATGGGCACCTGTAATTCCAGCTACTCAGGAGGCTGAGGCAGGAGAACAGCTTGAACCCAGGAGGCAGAGGTGGCAGTGAGCAGACTGCACCACTGCACTCCAGTTGGGTCCAGCCTGGGTGACAGAGTGAGGCTTGTTCTCAAAAAACAAAAAAAAAATCCTCTAGAGTTGCCACAAGAAAATTCAGACTTTCCTCTAGGATTCTAAAGTAAAGCCATTTTATTTACATAAGTATAAATGAAATTATATATATGGCATATGGTATATGATAAAGGTGGCATCTCAAAATCAGTAGACACCAAATTACCAGACATTATTCACTAAATGGTGTGGTACACCTGGATAGCCATCTGAGAAAAAAAAGGTTCAATCCAAGTGATATATTACAAACCAAGATAAACTACAAATCAATCAAAGATTTAAGTAAGAAAAACAGAGCCATGAAATCACTAGATGACACAGTAGAAGACTTTTGTAACCTTGTAGTGGGAAAGGCCTTTCTCACTAAGTCCTAAAATTCAGAAGACATAAGAGAAGGCTAACAATATTTTTGAGGTTTGGGGACAAAAGAAAAAAAAAAAGAGAAGGTTAACAAATTTAATCATAAATGGCAAACAGAAAAAAATACGTTCAATTCATATTATACACAAAGGCTACTCTCCTTAATAGATGAAGAGTTTCTAGAAATTGATAAAAGACCTGTAAGTCAAGAGGAAATGGACAAAGTCCACAGAAAAGGAAATACAAATGGCACTTAAATGTATGAAAAGTTGCTTAACTAACCATATTTAAATAATCTGCAATATTTTTTATCTACTGAAAAGGCCAAAATCCAAACTTTTTTTTTTTTTCAAATGGGCCAAAATCCAAACGCATTAACTATGTTGGCAGGAGTGTGGGAAACTCTCTCTCTTCATGCATTACTGGTAGAAGTACAAATTAGTGTAACTCTTATTGAGGACAATTTGGCATTATTGGTCAAAATTATAAATGCATACTTTTAACATAGCATTTCTACTTCTAGAAATTTATCCTGTAGAAATACATCAGAATAAATTCAAGTTTATTCATTGCAGCAGTGAGAGCAAAAAACTGGAAATAACCCAAATGTCTACTAATAGAGAGCTGGCTAATAAATGATAATTGATTTAACACCATGAAATATTACACCATTGTAAATAAGAAGAAAGAACCTTTCCATGTGCTAATATGGAAATATTTCTAAGATAAATCTCTATTTAAAAAAAGCAAAGAATAGCGGCTCACATCTGTAATCCCAGCACTTTGGGAGGCTGAGGTGGGCAGATCATCTGAGGTAAGGAGTTCAAGCCTGGCCAGCATGGTGAAATGCTGTCACTACTAAAAACAAAAATTAGCTGGGCATGGTGGCAGGTGCCTGTAATTCCAGCTACTTGGGAGGCTGAGGCAGGAGAATTGCTTGAACCTGGGAGGCGGAGGTTGCAGTGAGCGGAGATCATGCCATTGCACTCCAGCCTGGGCAACAAGAGCAAGACTCCAACAAAAAAGGAAGGGAAGGAAAGGAAGGATGTGAAGGAAGGAAGAAAGGGGAAAAAAACAAAGGAAATACAGAATTTAAAAATGATAACCTTGTATATAAAAGGAGAAAAGGCATAGGAATACAATTTTACATTTACTCAGTTGTATAAAAGGAATTCATACGAGGTAGGCAAGAAAAAGGGAATGGGGTACTAATTGGGCTGAAGGAATAGAAGAAAGATTTTATACTGTTGTTTTTTGACTCATATGGACATTTTACCTGCCTAAAATAAAGAATAAAATCAGCTGTACCTTTACTGGAACATTCCTATTTAAAAATTCACACACAAATACACATGCACACAAAAAAGAAATTTGGTCTAAATTCTTTAAAGAGTCCATCCCCTCCAGAGGATTTCTCCAAGTCCAGGAGAGCATGTCAGCATGGCCTCTGTTTTGATATACCATCTTCTAGGTGGAGTCCAGACTCAAGATTGGCTGTGGTGATGCCAGGGTCTTGCCAGTCAGCCTGGACTTTTATTTTCCTAAAAGATCATGTCTCACTTCTGTGGCAAAAGTGTAACGCGGGGTTGGGAGCAGGGGCTCTGGGCTCACAATGATCTTGGCTTTTCAATCCCACCACTTAACAGCTGTGTGGCTCCAACAAAATTACAGCTCAATGTCCTAATCTGTAAAATGGGAATGCCATTGAGTACCCGCCAAGATAAAACAAACTAACTCATAGGGTTGTTTTGCGGACCATATAAAGTAATATATATTTGTAAAGTTTGTAGCACAGAATCCGATCTTTAAAAATGAACATTCAACCAAAATCATCCATTTGTTTTAGTTTTTTGTTTTGTGTGTGGGTGTATGTTTTGTTTTGTTTTGTTTTTGTTTTTGTTTTTGAGACAGGGTCTGGCTCTGTCACCCAGGCTGGAGTGCACTTGGGAGATCTCAGCTCACTACAGTCTCAACCGCCCAGGCTCAAGCAATCCTCCTGCCTCAGCCCCCCAAGTAGCTGGGACTACCAGAGCGTGCCATCACACCTGGCTAATTGTTTTATTTTTTTTGTAGAGATGGATTTCACCATGTTGCCCAGGCTGGTCTCAAACTCCTTGGGCTCAAGCAGTTCAGCTCCCTCAGCCTCCCAGAGTATGTACTGGGATTATAGATATGAGTGACCACACTCAGCCAAAACCAGCAATTTATCATTTAGAGAGAAGTTGTGCCACTTTATGGGTACATACAGACATAAAGATTAGACACTGGGGACTTCCAATGGGGGAGGAAGAAGAGGACAGAGAGAGGGGATGCAGTCTGTAAAACTTGCTATGGGTACTGTGTTCACTCCATGGGTGACAAGATTAATAGAAGCCCAAATCTTAGTATCACACATATACCCTTGTAAGAAACCTGCACATGTACCCCCTGAATCTAAAATACATTTTTTTTAAAGTCGTGCCAATTTAATTGGAAAGCATCTAGCCATCTCATTACCTGGTACAGTTAAATGGCAGTTTACAGAACAAATCTAGGAAAAACTCTATTACTTTTATTTTTAGAGCTAACATATAATACATTATATGATTCTTCCCTTTGTGTCTTCCAATTGTCTTAATATGAGTGTTTTAGACCACAAAAAAAGTTACATTTCCCCCTCACCTTAACCACTGATATATTGAAATAATGCCGTTTAAGTTATTTAGAATTAGAGTGAAATATTCTAGTTTTACAAAGCATGTGGCAGGGTTACATTTCAAAGTATTACTCTGTTTCTGTGTGATTTTTTTCCTCCTCTTCTTTCACTAGCTTCACATAGGTCATTTTCCCCTCCCCGCCCTCACCAAAGCACAAAGACTCAAAGAAACCACTCTGATGCAGGTCAGAAATATTCACAGGCAGCCAAGAAAGCTGGTTTCTCTAAACCTAAAAACTACACAAGACTGAGATGAAGGAAGAGGGAAAGGCAGTCAGAGGAAGAACCCAAACTAGATGAGGCAGGAGTAGATGTCATCAAAGCCAGCAGGAGATGAAGGACTACAGAGGTATGAAAAAGATCCATTAACCAAAGCTTTTTGGAGTGTGGACTCCTCTCTCATTAATCCACTGCTTGTAGGTAACCTGCTGTCCACAGTCCTTAACGTTTATAGGCCAACGAGAAGAGAAGGAACATCCACAATTGCACAGGGACGGGACACGACAGAAAAACATGATCCCCTTACCTTATTGGAACTGAACACAAACTACTGAGTATCTCCTTATGAGCTGAGAGTGATG